AGGCCGCGGCGCCACTGCACTTCCGGGCGCGGCCGGAAGTGGGCGCTCTGCCCCTTGGGCGGGACTAAAGGGACCGCGCGAAAAGTGCGCGCGGCGCGAGTGACTGTCAGTGCGTGTGAGCCCCGAGGGTGGATGAACAGAGCCACGAAATAATGAAATCACACCCCAACGCCGTGGCTATAAATCTGTTTAAACGCCACGAGGGTGTTCCCCGGAGTGATGACACCCCAGGGTGTTGAATTCTGCTGAGTACAGGGGGTGATTCTGCCCTGGACTCGGTGCTGGTGAGGCCACACCTTGAATCCTGTGCTCAGTTCTGGGACCCTCAGATATATTGAGGTGCTGGAGCAGGTCCAGAGAAGAGCAACGAGGCTGGTGAAGGGACTGGAGCACAAGTGCCATGAGGAGAGGCTGAGGGAGCTGGGGTTGTTCAGCCTGGAGAAAAAGAGGCTCAGGGGAGACCTTAGCACCCTCTGCAACTCCCTGAGAGGAGGTTGGAGTCAGGTGGGGGTTGGTCTCTTCTCCCAGGCAACCAGCAGCAGGACAAGAGGGCACAGACTCAAGCTCTGCCAGGGGAGGGTTAGGTTGGATATTAGGAAGAGATTTTTTACAGAGAGAGTGCTCAGGCATTGGAATGTGCTGCCCAGGGAGGTGGTGGATTCGCCATCCCTGGAGGTTTTCAGGATGAGACTGGATGTGGCACTTAGTGCCATGGTCTAGTGACCACGGTAAGGTTGGACTTGATGATCTTGGAGGTCTTTTCCACCCTGGTTGTTTCTATGATTCCAAGAATTAAGGGAGGTAGGGAATGACTAACCCAAGAACTTTGTAGTCCACTTAAGCTATCCATGCTGATGTGAAGCAATGAGCAATAATCAATCAGAAGGGCTATGGAATGCTCAGGAATGATAAGGAACTAACACCTGCTGAAACCACCTGTGGGGTTTGGATTAAAGACAAGAAACAACATGCATGTGCCAAGTAAGAGAGTTCATCCAGAGGACAGTGATAAAGCCTATGGGAAGACTCTCAGCAACCACTGCTACAACTGACTGTGCAGGAGTGACTGGGTGGAGACATGATAATGATTTTCAGGAAATGATGAACATATATGTACGAGATCTTGGAAATATGATGAATACGTATGATTTGTTGGACTAAAAGCTGTCCCATCTGGAGCCAGGGTGTGCATGATAGGAGGAGTGATCCCACACACACCCAATGTCATCATTAAAGGAACACTTGCTTGACAGTGTCAGCCTTCTTTGAACCAAGATGCTTCCTCACAGCCTCTGATGCAATGGAAACCTCACACAACAGCTCAACAGCTCCCTGTCCCTCTTGCTGTGCATCCCAAAACAGGCAGGGAAAGGTCTGGTGGCTGCTCAAGCACCTGCCCCAGTGCCTCTCTGTTCATCCTGGGAGGTGAAGCCACTTGGCTCAAGGCTGGTGTCCATCTCATCATGACCCTCCAGGTCACAGGGACAACACTATCCCCCAGCCTGGGGAGCTCTAAGGAATCTCTCTTGCCTTTCTCCATCTCCTTGGTTAAGACCTCACAGGAGATGTGGGTGAAAAAGGCAAGTCCCCGTTTGATCTTCAGCTGCTGCCACCGTAACACTCCTCAACTTTGAAGTCTCTGTGCTGCACACACAGCCCTTGGAACTTGTCTGTCTCTGCCTTTGATAATGCCACACAGCTGAGAGGTGTTCTCTAGAACACCACTCAGGCCATGAACACACCAGGAAAATGCTTGAAGCGACACATCCACTTGAAACACCCAAGATTTTAGGGGACTCGCAGTGCTTTTTAGACTTGAAGGATCTGTCATGCTCTTATTTATAATGCAGCCTGATACACAAAGCTTTGTCAATGTTACTTTCCTCATCATTCTGTGAAGTCTATTAGGGTTTTTTTAAACCTCTGCAGAGTTTGCTCTGTTAGCAATACTATTCAAATATCCACATGAAGCAAATGCCTGCCCCAGCCTGTGCTCCCACAGGACTGGCTAAGAGGATGGCAAAGGGGAAGAGCTGCTTTCTCCTGCCATTGTTCAGTACCTGGAAACATTCAACTACTCTCCTCCTGCAAACAATTATTTGCCCATGTTTCATGGATTACACAGATGCAAGTAAGGAGTTCCCTTTCTCCCTTCCCAGAGCTGCAGGGCGGACACAGCCTTGCCCTTTTTCAGGTGTGTGTTTCCCCAAAGCAGCCAGTGCAGTGATGGCTCCAAGTTTACAGCTGCTGCTCACATTTTGCATAGAAACCTCCATTCCATCCTGGGACAGAACCAGGGACCTCCATCCCATCCCATCCTGGGTTATAGTGTTGGTGATTGCCCAGGCCTCTGATTTGTCTAGGTCTCCCTTTCAGGGAGTTGCAGAGGGTGATAAGGTCTCCCCTGAGCCTCCTCTTCTCCAGGCTGAACACCCCCAGCTCCCTCAGCCTCTCCTCATGGCACTTGTGCTCCAGTCCCTTCACCAGCCTCGTTGCTCTTCTCTGGACCTGCTCCAGCACCTCAGTGTCCCTCCTGAGCTGAGGGGCCCAGAACTGAGCACAGGATTCAAGGTGTGGCCTCACCAGCACGAAGTCCAGGGGCAGAATCACCTCCCTGGTCCTGCTGACCACAGTGTTCCTGATCCAGGCCAGGATACCATTGGCCTTTTTGGCCCCCTGAGCACACTGCTGGGTCATGTTCAGCTCCCAGTCTCTCCAAACTCCCAGGTCCCTTTCTGTCTGGCTGCTCTCCAGCCACTCTGTCCCCAGCCTGGAGAGCTTTTCCTCTAAAGCAAAGAATAAACCCGATCTCATTATGGAGGCAGAAGTTTATTTCTGCAAGACCTATTCTAGATAACTCTACAACCAGGCAGGTTGTGCTGTAGCCTGCAGACAATGCAGAAAATCTCCATTTTCCAGGAAAAAATACCTTGAGAGATACAAACTGTTTAGACTCAAAAATTCAAAATTTTCATCTTTCAATCTTCAAATCCGAAAGGCAACAGAAGCAAGTCAAACACCTAACTGCAAGGAAACTGGCATGTTTCCTTCTCCTCCCGCCCTGTTTCATCTCTTGGCTGGAAAACTTACCCTCACACACCAGTGGCTGATCTCAGGGGGTGTTTGCCTGTCTCACAAAAATCCCACTGTTTTCTGTCTTCAGAGAGGCTAAAGCCAGATACAGTTAAATATGGCAAGTTCTCCTGGAAAATCCTTTGCTGCAAATCACATTCCAAACCCTCCAACAATGCCTTTATTTCAAACTATTGTAAGTTACAGCTTACAAATGACAATTATTAAAGAAGGAAATTCTCAGTTATCAAAATGACCCTCAAAAAGCAGAGACCAAGTCTTGCATTATTTTCTAATACAGCCTATAGGAAACATAAACAAGCCATACATAGGAAGATCTTTTGGGGGTTTTTTTGTTTCTTTTTTTTAATAGTCAAATTACAAATAATCACTCTAAGCAGATAGTTACAAATATCATACAGAGACATGAGTCCAAGCTCCATCTTATCACTGCTTTTTCATACTAAAATGTAAAAATTCTCCTTGGCAAAATAAAAATATGTCTGACATACATATATATCTATCTATATATATCTTTATGTACACTTGTCTCTGCATTGCAAATATTAACAAAAACATTTTAATTCCATTGTCCTGGTTAGCAAGAAGTGACATTCCAATTTATCAGCAGTAGTGGGCAAAGATCCCTTTTCTCTAGGAGAGTTGTGAAATGTCTAAACCTGTATCAAAAATAAAAATCAGTTGCTTTTAAGAACAAGGTACCTCATAAAAAAATCCATCTCAAAACTTGTGCTGTTTCCATCAACACAGATGTCTTCAGATTTGGTGATTACAGAGATTTCAAAGCAAAGTGAAAAGCCTTTTCCCAAGTCCATGAATTTTGGCTACTTTAAAAAAATAAAGTTCTGAAAACTAATTCATGCCAAAAGGGAAAACAGCAACTTTCAACTCCACAGGAAACAAAGCATTTTGAGACACCTGGAAAGCAATTTGGATGGTTAAATGGTAACTTGTAAAACCAGAACTAAATTAAAGCAATCAAAAGTGCCTCAGAAGCTCTTTTTATTTCAGTCTTCACTGTGAAAGAAGAGAATCAGATGTGCCTGTCTTGACTTTTCCCACTGCTCGACAGCTTGTGTACCTGAGTGAGGAGCTGCACCCAGTGCAACCTGATCCATTGACAGTCCAAACTGCAGGTTAGGAACTGCTTTCAGGACAGTCAATTAATCACTGTCCTCACTGGAGTCAAAGATGTCACTGAATCGGACATGCTGCTGCTGCTGAGTGGCTGCTGGATGGGTAGAGCAAAGGTGTTTCTCCTCCTTTTTTTGTAGCCTTTCTTCAAGTTGTGGAAGTTTCTCTTCAAAGAGAAAATCAACAATTTCTTTGAGGAAAAAAAAAGAGAAAAAAATAGGTTTTTGATTGGATCTGTAGAGGAACTGGATCTCACAAACAGAAATGATTTTGTCAGTGTTAAATGCCCCAAATGTCTGTTCTGTCCTGCAGTGGCTGCAGGGAGATCAGACACAGACAAACATGCAGGGACAAACTAGAATGCACAATCATAAGACTTCTAAAGCCAAGGTATGAAATAGAGGAGGTTCATATGATGACACTGAAAGTTATTTTTAAAAAAGCACTTAGTAAATTAAGTATAAAGCCTGAGGTTTTAAATTAGGGGAAAATAGCTGAGAAAGAATTGAACTAGACATGTATCCTCTTGAAGTCAAGCAAAAACCTTAAGGAGTATATACAAACATACTAACCAGAAAAAGTCTTTCTTTGCCATAAAGGGACAGAAGAGACTTTTAGCTTATAAAAAATTCCTTGAATACAAGTTCTAGGAATGTCTCTGCAAAGAGAAGAGTTCAAAGAATTAGTGGTGCAAGGAACTATCACAAAACTGAGCTGTTACTGAGTTACTCGTTCATGAGAGTGATGCCAGTCAAACAATATCAGCTTTAGGGAGAGAGGATGGAATTCAAATAATAATTAGACCAGGTTTTCCAGGCAGCAATTCCCCTTGAAGGTAAGAGCCTGCACCATCTCATCATACATTGGAAATGAAACTGGCAGCATGTGGGAAAAGAGAAGGTACAGCACCCACAGGATTGGTGGTTTCATGTTCAACAGTCCTTTGCTTGGAAAATGACTGTTCTATTGTATGAGACATTACTATAATTATCCCTTTTTCTTGTGTGTGGATTAACCCCTGGAAGCACAGATACACCACACAGCTCCAGTACTCAGAATGCTAAGGGTTCCCTGATGTGGTTAAAATCAAGTTTCAGATCTTACAGGCACTGGTTTACTGCTCAGCAAATATGTCAGGATATACAACTCTGTGTTTCCAAACTAAACATTTCCTATGGCTGCAAAGGTCTAAGAACTTTGATTCATCTGCTTCAACTACTCTTCGTATCCATAAAAAGAGGGAGAAAAAAATGTTTACCCCAGTGCAGTACAGAGTTCTTCCCAGTTTACTTCAGTAATATCTTCCAGGTCCATTTCATGCAACCTGTGAATGTAAGACAGAAGCAATGTGTAGGCAGAATTCACGACACAATTCAATGCTCCCAGTTCCCCCAGTCAGAGGTCACAAGACATTCTGCCCAGAGAAAGAATGGTTGTGAAACATGTATCAAGCTACAAGCACACAGTTCTCACCCTGCAAGCTTTCACACACACAGCTCAGAGCAGTAAGAGATACTAAAACATTCCAGTACCTCTGAACTATACCTTTTAATGAGATTGATCTTGATCTGTAATCTTTTCATCACATTAGATAACTGCAGCCCCTTGGACACCTTGTTTGCTAAAATTGCATTCCTGTGAAAACATAAAAAACCCCAGGTTCCACCATTTCAAGAGATTCCAAGCATCAAGATGCTACTGCTGTGAGAGAGAGGCAGAAATGAGGCTTTGCTATCACAGCAAGAAGAAAGCTTTCCCCAGCTAGCAAAGAGTTGTCTCAGAGAGATTTGCAACACCTCTTTTGTAGTGTACACCCTATAACCTGTCCTACCAAAAACAGTCACCATGGTACAAAACACAGGTGTTGCACAAGAAACACTCCCCAGGACACATGTTCCTACCTCAGTTTAGCACAAACCCTTACCATTTCTGCTTGCATTGACTCCAGTATCGACTTCCCACCTTAGCTTCAATCTCAGTCCATGGTAATTGCTGGTACAGCTTATTAGGATCAATCCAGGCATCTTCCCTTGAAAGAGCATTTGCATCTTCTTTTTCCAGTCTCTTCCTCAACACCTCCTTCACTGCCTGCTTTAACTTCTGGATCTCTTTTGTTGACCAAGGCCCATAATTAATGGCTAAAATTGACAAACCACCAGGTTAAGGCATAATTTATCATAGAAAATTAAGGGGGGGAAAAAAGCAAAAGTTTCACTTTGCATTATTTTTATTTACAGGGCCAGCTTCTTACACACCTCCTAGAAACTCTCCTGCACACCAGACTTGAGAGTTCATCCTGATCACTAAACAGTCTGATCCCTAGCTTTTATCTTTTCAAACCTTGTTGCCAAATTCCTTCCACTCTATCCTTGAAAGCATCTATTTAGAGGTCAGCCCCACTTGAAAAAGAGTTGCATTTGTTCCACTTCTTTTCCCTTCTCTAGCAGAGACTGTTCTATCCTTTCCATATGAAAATGCAATCAGTGATCTGAAGAAAAGAACCACCACTACAATTTAATTTTTTCAAAGGCCACTCCAGGGACTTTCTCCTGATGTTTAGGGCACTTACAACGTACAGTTCAAATAACTTCCCAGATTGCATTACACCAAGTGAATTGTTTTTCTGAAAATTCCATACCTGACTTGATTTCAGAGTATTTCATAGCAACAGAGAGGTTAGAACGGGACATCATCTCCGAAATCTTCTTCCAATCATTGCCATGCATAGCATGATACTGCTTTAATTTTTCTTTTTCTTCCTTAGTATACCTAGTTGAGGAAATGGGCACAACTTCAGCTGTAAATTTAAACCATTTCAAACTCCTAAAAGAGCTGTAACCTTTACAGGTGACCAATGTTCCTCATCACTACCACTTCAAGTCACACTTTAGAACAGAGGAATCCACAAGGACTAGTCAGAAAAATGAACTGTCAATTAACTGGTACAAATGGGAGAGATGATCTTCATTTCTATCCATTTTTAATGTACAAATAATTAACAGAGACTTGATATTTTCATGCAGAAACTCTTCAATTCTTGCCTTACCTTCCTTTATAATTATTTGGGTCAAACATCTTCCTTGCTCTGTAATAGATGAGCCTCCAGGGTCGGGGGATGCCCTCGGCTAGAAGGGAAAGGATCAGTTTTAAGAAACATTTCTCACACTGGTGAGGCCACTTAAATAAAGCCAAAATGAATCAAACCCAAAATCCAAACACCACACATTTTCATGACTGTGCTGTCAGTGACTCTCTCCACTCTTTTACACTTCAGTAACTGCACAGGAAGAATCTGGACAGGATCTCCTGAGGAATTTCAAGGACGCAATTGTTGCCCCTGTGGTGAGATTTGGAATGCTGACAGCTGGTGAATAACTGTGTATGTGGCTGCACATGTGTGGGTGAGTGTCAGGAACTGAACTCCTGATCAAGCACAAACCTGCTACTCACTAGCTACAAACTGTATGGCCTGGCTGTACATTTGATCCAGCTCTAGTTAAAATTTAACTGACACACTGAATTGAATGCCCTTATTAACAGAGAGACATGAGACAGCCACCAGTCAGGAGGCTGATGAAATACTGTGCTTCTGCACACAGACTCTTTTCCATTGGGAAAATCAGGGACTGGAGACATCCAGCAAAAATCAAGTGAAGGGAAGATCCACAGAGACCAATACCTGGGAATATATAACCTCAGTCAGCAATGCCCAGGAAAGCTGACTACAAGTCACCTAACACTGCAGTGACTTTCTGCCCAATTTTCCCAGACCAGGAGCAAACTCCCAGATTGGAATTAAAAGCAACATCATGTAAATGTAACGAAACAGAGGGAATGATTGTTTGTGTGAAACAACCACAGAGGAACAAATCTGTAGCCCCTTTGAGCCTTAAATAAATGCTACTTCCCAAATCCACTACAGGTTGCCATTGACAAGAAAGGCTTCTACAGGTATGTTGCATGAAAAAAGGAGGAGAAAGACTTGGGAGTGACAGTGGATGAGAAACTCCCCATGAGCTGCAGTGTGAGCTCAGCCCAGAAAGCAAATCGAGTCCTGGGCTGCATCAAAAGAAGTGTGGTAATACTTGAAATACTGCACACAGGTCTGGTGCCTCAACATAAGAAGTACATGGAACTCTTGGGGCAAGTACATAAGAAGGACATGGAACTCTTGGGGCAAGTCCAGAGGAGGCCATAAAGTTGCTAAGAGCACTGGAGCATCTCCCCTATGAGGACAGGCTGAGGGAGTTGAGGCTGTTCGGCCTGGAGAAGAGAATGTTGTGTGGAGACCTCAGAGCAACTTTTTAATATCTGAAGGGCCTAAAAGGGAGCCAGAGAGAGACTCTTTGTTAGGAACTGCAGTGATAGGACAAGGGGAAATGGGTTCAAACTGAAGAAGGGGAAATTTAGGTTAGATAGTAGGGAACAGTGGTGAGACACTGGCACAGGCTGCCCATGGAACTGGTGGCTGCCCCAACCCTGGCAGTGGATAAAGCCTTGAGCAACCTGCTCTGGTGGGAGGTGTCCCTGCCCAGGGCAGAAGGTTGGGACTAGATGATCTCTAAGGTCCATTCCAACCCCTAAAATTCTATGATCTATGAGTATTATTGCCTTTCAATAAAAGATTATTTCAGAAAACACATGATTACCTCACCAAGATCGTCAAATGAGACATTTTCTGTGTGAGAAGGAACTTAAATACTCACAAATCTTTTCACAGAAATGATGTTTTACTTTCAGGTAATTAATAGTTGCTTTATCTTCTGGATATCTCGAAGTAAACAGAAGTTTTTCAGCACTGTCTATCCCAGTAATCGCTAAGAACTCATCAACATTATTCCGGATTTGATCATTTTCCTTCGGTGTAAATCTGCCAAACTTGACAGCAATACCTAAAACATACAAAGGTTAAAAAACCAAGTCAAACTTCAAGTACATCTCTCCTACATTTCAGGTTTTGGATTAGGTATAACCAAAGATCAACAAAATCAAAAGGTACTCCAAGGATGGAACTCTTTTCTCTCTGTAAAATCTTCAGCACAGCTGCACAAGTCCTTCCTCACTGCAACAGCATTTTGGAGAGCTCACCTTGTTTTTTAAAGCTTTTAAACCTCGCCAGGTCTCTTCCAGCCATGTTCTTGACTGAATGATCTGACATAGTCCTCACATGAGGAATAAACTCTTCCAATTCTTGTCTTGTAGCATCCAAATCAATGGCTGAAGACAGGACAGAGACCATGAGTCCATCATCCTCACTAACCTCCTCAGAGGCTGCTGTTTCAGCAAAGGAACTATCCTGTTTCTTTACATTTGATGCCAAAGGCTCTGGTGTCCTGATATTAAAGAGAAATAATTACATCACTAGAGCTGCCAAACAGAGATTTTGTTAGTAACTCTACCATTAAAAGAATGAACATGTTCATTAGTTGAAGAACACATGTCCACCCCTTTGTATTTCCAACCTGTTAACACAGATGTAATTCACTACCAAATTTCTATGCTCAAAGCAGCCAAAGAGTTTTCTGAAGTTTAGAACATCCACAAAACTCTCACTCATGGCCATACTGAAGAAAACAGTGTCTCTTGCTACCACTGGCACACAGGTTTTTTCCACCTGTCTCTTACTAGTGCCCTTATTGTGGGTTCTAGACAGTTCAAAAGCATCAAGAGCTACTTACAAGAGCATTTGTTTGCACAGAACATTAGATTCCTCAGCCAACCTTACTTGTTGTTTGGCTGAAATGCACATGTTCACTATAAATACCAAACTTAACAAGTGAAATCCCTTCCTTTTTTTAACTTTTGCCTACAAACCTACAGTTTTCAAACAGGAGAAAAGAGCCTGTGCTGAAGGCAATGGGAGTGTTACAAATTGTTGCTGTATCTTCACCAGATAACTAAACTCTTCAAGCAGGTCTCTAACAGTTCAACAAGCTGCAGAAGTTCAAGGCTTTTCTTTAAAACACATACGAAACAGAATGAAAAAAAACCTGGGACCCAAATCACGTGCAAGAAACATATTTGGGGATGGAGAGGGGGGGAAAAAAGCCAAACCCACAAACACAACCTAAACTTACACATCAGAGTCTGAAGAACATTCTTCTACAATAGCAGGGGTTTTTATTTTGATCTTTTTAGCATGTGCTGCACTTTTCTGAGCTCCACCAGTTGCTTTACTGGGTGTAGAAAAATCAGCAGGTACCTCCATCGACATCTCACTAGTGACAGAAGCAACATCAGAGTTACCATCCTCCTGACACTGCTGGGGAACTGCCACTGCCCCCTCCTCTGCAGGTAACAGGCACTCTGTGTCCTCCCCTCGCCTCTTGTGCTCTGGAGATGACAATGGGGACTGCTCAGCAGCAGTTCCATCTGTGTCCTCCTGCATGTCCTGGGTACTGCTGACCTTTCTCTTCTTCTTCTTCTTCTTTGTAGGTTTCTCTGTGTTGTGTTCTTGCTGTGTTTTTGAGGGAGGCAACTCACACACCTCAAACACTTCATGCAGTTCTGCTTTGCTTTTCTTCTTCTTCTTCTTCACCTCAGAGTTTTTCAAATACTCATAATCAACAATGCTCTCCTGGCACTCGTCAGCACTGTACTTGTTCACTAGGGTACAACTGACATCACTGTGCTCATCTGTGCTGTTGTTATGCTTCTTCTTCCTCTTTTTCTTTTGGGAAGCTTCCACTTCAGTTCCACTGCTGATGTTATGTTCCTCTCCTACACAAGAATCATCCAACAAAACCAGCTGCTCTTCACCCTTCTTTTCTGCCTTTTTCTTCTTTTTCCTGCCCTCACCATTCTGTGCTGCTGCATGTTCAAACACCAGAGGAGCACGGGTGAGCTCTGTGTTTTCTGCATTTTCATCAGTTTCATATGAGTTATTGTGCTCAACATGTTTTCTCTTCTTCTTCTTCTTGAGAAAAACCTGGCCTTGAAAATCACCTGCGTGTGCTTTTCCTGACATCTTTCTCCCTTAAAAAAAATAAAGAAGAGGAGTTCTATTTGTAATTTAGGTCCCATTGCACAGAGTAAAAGAAAAAGAAACCCCAACAAAATGCACAAAAAGCACAAAACCTACCCAAAACTTTAAAAACTAAATGCTCAGTATTATCTTAGAAACACACAATAAAGACACTTACTTTTCAATCCAGCTGTTTTCGCAAAGTGCCCGCGAAGAAGTGATACTTTCTTTGCCAAACAGATGGGCATCACAGCTGGACTTGGCCTTAAAAGTGTCTTCCTAAAACAACCAAAGATATTAAAAGACTTCAATAACCATTAGCTTTGATTTTGAGTAACTCAGCAACAACAGACTGTCGTTTTCAACTCTGCTTTTAGCACTGAAACAGCAACAAGCTAAAAGTAATGAGGAAATATTAGACTAATCAGCACTAACATCAGAATTCTTTCATTAGAAGCTTCTGGCAGGCTCTGCCTGTGTTCAAACCAAGCTCAGCCCTGCCAGCTCTGTCCCAGGACAAGGCTACTCCTGCAAAATCATAGAATCACCAATGTTAGAAGAGACCTTTAAGCTCATGAAGTTCACCTGTCCACCAGCACCACCACTGCAACCCCTAAACCCCATCAGAATACAAACCTCACCAGAACACAGGTACACAGCACAAGCAGGAAGCACTTCTAGCACATTACCTACATCCACTGCATTTTAAAAAAAACCCAACAAACCACAGAGCAAGATCCTGTTTTAAAAAAAACAACCTACAGAGCAACACCATGATTTAAAAAAAACACCAACAAATGCTTACAGAGCAACATCGTGATAGAAAAAGCAGTCACTGAGCAACATCATGATAGAAAAAAGCAGTCACAGAGCAACATTGTGATTGAAAAAAACAGACACAGAGCAACATCGTGATAGAAAAAAGTAGACACAGAGCAACATCGTGATAGAAAAAAGTAGACACAGAGCAACATCGTGATAGAAAAAAGTAGACACAGAGCAACATCGTGATAGAAAAAAGTGACACAGAGCAACATCATGATAAAAAAAAAAAAACGGAAGCAACATCATGATAGAAAAAAACAGTCACAGAGCAACATCGTGATAGAAAAAAACGGACACGGAGCAACATCATGATAAAAACCCACAGTCACAGAGCAACATCCCGATCCACAAGCACTCACAGCGGAACATCCCGTCACGTTCGGAGCAGGAGCCGTTCGATCCCGCGTTCCCGAGGCAGCTCGCAGCGCTGGCCGCTCCTCAGCATCAGAAAAAAACAGTCACAGAGCAACATCGTGATAGAAAAAAACGGACACGGAGCAACATCATGATAAAAACCCACAGTCACAGAGCAACATCCCGATCCACAAGCACTCACAGCGGAACATCCCGTCACGTTCGGAGCAGGAGCCGTTCGATCCCGCGTTCCCGAGGCAGCTCGCAGCGCTGGCCGCTCCTCAGCATCA